CTCCCACAGGGAAAGTTGACAGGGTGGGTTAGGTAAAAAAGGGCCCACAGTAATTGGCATATGCTGTTGTGGTGACCCTGCCCTAGTTGGCAAAGCTAAATAAATAAAATATGCCGACCTAAATCTGACCTAGCTCGGCACATCTCGGCATTTTTTAAAATCTGTTTCCATGTTTTGGAGCACAAGTAGCCTGCACTAGTAATCACGTATTTACGAATTATTGAAAAGTATAAATGTCACGAAGGTTTTTCTTTTAAAGTCTTACCTAAATTATATCATAATACCCATTAATTCTTAAACCTTACACTAAAGTGTATCGAATTCTATAATCGCTGACTTTTTAACAGCTATCAGCTCCAAAAAAGTTTCTTACTTTGGCTGAATTAAGGTCGGCAAAACATTGCCGACCTGGGAGGTTGATAGATCAGCATTTATAAATAGGTCGGCATTGCCGAATGCCGACCTCGCTTTCGAGGGCTGTTAAATTATATATTTTCTGACGAAAATGACCTACCTGTTCTTCCAGCAGAAGACACCGAACTAGACACAACCAGGAGTTATATTCAGATTAAAATGAACTAAAGAACTTCACTATTTTGAACACGTTATAAACATACAAACATGGCTTCCCAATTGTGTGTTGAATAATTCAAACAATGTTGTCATGTGATTATACCGGAAATAATACCCGGAAGTTAATAATATGTTAATTTGATTATGATAAATTTAATTCAAAATTGTACTATTTTACTAAGAATTGTCATGACAAAAATTTAATAATTATATTGAATTTCAACAAATTGTATTTTTGTGCTTTTTTCCACAGTTTGATTACAGAAGATAAATAATTAATAAGTAATAGCATGAATTAAGTCGTACTATTAATGCCATAATCATACTCGTGATTAACAAATCAACCTCCCGCTACGCGGTCGGTTGATTTTGTAATCACTCGTATGATTATGGCATTAATAGCACTCCTATTCGTTCTATTACCATCATTAATTGTACTGCAGTACAATTAATGATTTTCCGAAAACAAACAAAATGGCGAAAAGATATTTTAAACACAGATGTGAAATGAAATTGCCCAAGAGCAACTAGATGAAAATACGATCAAAAGCACCAAAATTTGCATCAACAAAAGAACTAAATGAAAATACGAACAAAAGCACCAATTTTTAGTTGAATGTTTGGCAGGATTGGACTTTGGCTTTGTCATGCTAATATAAACAAGTAATCATGCGATGTTGCTCGTACAATTAGGGATTAATAGTACTCGTGATGTTTGGAAATTTGCCAAATTGGACTCGCCCCGCCGGCCCGTCCAATTTTGGCAGAATTTCCAAACATCACTCGTACTATTAATCCCTAATTGTACTCGCCATCGCATGATTACCTGTACTTTTATCCAACGGATTGTAAACGAGATCTTGGAGTTTTAAATGGAGGACGAAATACAGAAGAGAGATACGAATTGAACAGCTCTGCCTTACCAGCTGGTGTTGTTACTGTTTTGCCATTATGTGTTATTTTGGAAGTTGACTTTCCATGGTGGTGTAAGATAGCCTTGTGGTAAATCCAGAATAATTTTGGGTTGTCCTTGAAAGAACCTTCGGTTTTCTTGAGATACTCGCGGTGCTTTGCCCTTATCAAATATTTCACTTTTTGACTTAGTTCGCGCAGGTTTTGTTTGCGGATATCAGATCTGTCCTGCTGAAATTTTCTCAAAGCATCATATTTCTTTCTTATGAAATGGCGAACTTCTCCTTCAATCCAAGTCGGACAATTCTTGTCTTTGACGATCCTTGTTGGAATAAATTTATCCACAGCGCCAAGAAACAATTTTTTCCATTTCAGCCAGCATGCAATCATCGATACTGTCCGTTGACATATAGTAAAGTCACTCACTGCGACAGGTAATATGCGCCAAAGGGAGCTGGGAAGTTCATCGAAGTTACCTCCATTAAAGTCGAATACTTTGCGTGGCACTGGCTCGCATGGTTTAAATTTTTTAATTTAATTGCATATTAATAAGTATGGTGATCAGTTGGAAACACTTGTCCAGGAGTAAGAGTGGTAACATTTTCGACAATTTCTGGACGTTCAAGATCTGCACATCGTGATACTTTGAATTTATATGTTTAACAGCTAGAAATACTCCGCCACCAGTTTGACCAGTCCTGTCTTCACGAAAAATAGAATACCCGGTTAACTTGTGTTAGTCTGTAGCTGTGGGTTTCATAAGTTAAATCCAAAACCTTGTTCGTTATCAAGCTCAAAACATAGGGTTCATGTCCGCATACCGACACGGGAATGCCAAACGGCGTAAAAGTATACATAACTCTTCCAGTTTTCCTGCAGTAGTTTACTGATAACAGTGAAAAGTCTCTGGTTGCCAAAACGGGAATATCTGCCTTTTCAAATCTGAAAGTAGACAGAAATTCAGGTTCAGGGATGCTTTGCAGATCATCTTCCGTACTGCTCGTAGTTGAATTCGTGATTGTGCTATGTATTTTCCTCGAGCAAGATGAGAAGTTGTTCGGCAGTGATAAGCTTTCTGGAGTAACTGTAGAAGGCAGGCTCGAGTTTTCTTGAACGATGGCATAGCAAGAAAACAAATTTCAAAACAACAGAGGTTGAGAAAAAACCCCAAAATGAATGCTTGCGTTATAAATGGCGTTTTATTTATTTACGTACTGCTTAATGTTTAATTTTGCAACAAAACCACCGTAATTGATCCAGTCCTTTCAGGGCTGACGCTACGTCCGTGTTGACAAAAACGTCGCTTGCTTAAGCTCTATATTAAGTTCTTTGAAGGCACAAAGCAAAGTAGCTTCGCCCGTAAATGTAAATTTACTCATAAAACATTTTTGCATGCTCTGAACGTTACTGTTTTGCTAATATTTGATCATATACATATGGATATTTGCGCAATATAAAAAATAAATTATTATTAATATTAATATCTTATGAAATTACGAAATGATAGTTCATTCTTCGTCAGGTTTCGTTTTTCTTCAATCTAAATTGGCGGATATTATCGGTGGTAATTTAACTCGAAACTCGGTGAACCTCATTTTTTTAAAAAAAAATTCTGTCCGATCATGCCAAAATTTTTCATGATCGGAAAATGTAATCATTCCAGAGCCAAACGTAAGCATGCCAGATCTTTTTAAAAATTGAAACAATGATTCAAAATACTAAACGAATTCGTTTCATGAAATAAAAAATGGGGTAACGGACCTCATTTTCAACTTAAATAACTTTAAACCCAAAATATCGACCACATATTGAATCGTCATTGTTGTCATAACAACGTCAGTTGCTGTAGTTATTATTTTTTCTAGTCGGACTTTCCTTGCCCTTTTAGCAATTGAAATAGGGAATTGTCGAAAAATTGGGTCTAAATCGGAGGTCTTCCATTTTCTAGTACAAACTGCGGGGAGCCGCCTTAAATTGTTCTTTTTCAAATTTTAAATGTCAAAAGTCATTTACGATACAGCTTTTTGGTGTGATGGTTTAAATTGTTGTTTCATCTAGCTCATTTTGGTGATGTCGGGCACAATGTGGAAAATTCGGGAAGTTTGCTTTCTGCCTCCTGCGAGAATTCATGCATTGCGGAATTTAGTGACTCGAGACCTATCTTTGAGGTACTATCCTAGCCAAGAAATAAAAGCTGGCCTACCACACTTTTCTCACAATTTTCCAATAGCTTATTGTGATCTACCAAAATAAAGCTTCCTTCGAAAACAGTAGTCTGAGTCTCTGACCGCTCGGTTCTGTAATTTCTGCATGTATTTTCGCATACTAAGAGTTTCTCCTAAAGTATCCCAGACCGAGAACCAATAGCCAAAATGAGGCTATATCGAAGCAAGGTACACCTGCATGCGCTGCTGTTTTTGTCGTTATGCACTTCAAAGCACCAATAGCCGAAGCAATTTTCTTAGATATATTATCAACGTGCACTGACCATGATAGGTTACCACCAATATGTGAACTCTATTTATTTCACAGTCATGGATCCCAATAGCTATATCACCTTGGGTATATCTTGGGTAATTCTCTAAGGCAAAATTCTGACAACGGTCCCAAATTATATCAAACGCATCTGATTGGTTAATGGTCCCTTTAATGGTTGGTGTAGTGAACGACAAATCTGAACCTCCCTAACGTTCAAACCACAGCGTATAATGATAAAGCACCAATAGTATAGTTTCCCATAGACACATCCTTAACCCAGCTTACACCGACCTAGCCCACCGTACAATGGCTTTACCATGCTTTAAGGCCGATTTACACCACACAACTTTTGCCTAAAACTGTCGCATGCAACCTACTTACAACTTGTAAATCAAGCAGACAAATTACCTACGGCAACGTAAGATTTACACAGTACAACTCAAGTTGTAAGCAGGTTGCATTCGACAGGTTTAGGCAAAAGTTGTGTAGTGTAAATCGGCCTTTATAGGCACCATTAGAGGGTTTGGCAAATACAACGGCAACGAGAACGTGCTCATCAACAATAGCATCTTTAGGCGTCTAAAAATTTGCATTTCATTGAGCATTCTAGTACGCCGTAGTTGTTCAAACTGCAACGTTATTTTCATCTTTTTCACGGCTCAAGACTACGCCAGCAGAGTAAAACGTGCAAGTTGTTTGGGGTGTTTTATGTGAATTCACTTACTATTGCTTCTTCAGGGAATTTCAGGGTTGTTTAATTAAAAGAATGATAAGTGCTTTTATAAAAGTTTAGTAATATGTGTTTTTGCTGGAATACAAAAGCATAAGTAATTTTGTTTTCTGATGTTGCCTTTGTTGGTTGCCAAACTCACTATTAAACCGATTTACAATGACTTTGGCATATAAGCCAGCCAAACAGATAGCGGCTTACTATTGAATCATTGTAAATCATGAAAATTTTACAACGGGCATTCCGAACTTACAAACAAACATTGAAAGTCTGATTTCAAAAGGATATTGAAATTGATAATAATGTGATTTTTTCAGGTTACAACAGAGTCCTGTACACCGATGCCTATCGTCAATCTCTTAAAAATGGTGAAGCAAAAAACACACGAATCTCAGTTATGATCGTTGGCCAAGACAGAGGTGGTAAAACGTCTTTAAAAAAGCACCTTTTGGGGCAGTCCTTCGATTCCGAAGAACTAAGTACCGACGGTATTGAAGTCAATGTAGTAGAGCTAACAGATAAGAACGCAGAGGATCCCTGGAGGGGAAAAGTAACAAGGTTTTTCATGAGTGCCGATGAAGAAGATGAGCATGTTTTTAAATGCACTGCGAAGCTGGTGTCGACGAATCAAGAGCAACCAGAAATAAAAGAGAATGATGCTACTTCGTTTGAGTCAAAGGAAATATTGCCAGAAGAAGCACTCGACAGGATAAATGGATTGGTGGTCAACGATGATAACAGCGAAAGTCTATCCACTACAGTATTTGTCCATGACTTTGCCGGCCAAAGTGTCTTTTACGACACGCACTTTTGTTTTTTAAAGATTCAGTGTCCTTATCTGTTGGTGGTTGATATTAGCTCTCCTCTGGATGAACCCGCTAAGTCACGGTTCAAGTTTCGTGATTCTGAGCGTGATCTGCATGACCCGTTCTATGAAACCAACTTAGATTATTTGTTGTCCTGGCTAACGGTCTTGGCAAGATTGAGTGATGTCATCTGCAGCGAGATTCCTTCAGACAGTCACCCAAAGCGTTATAAACTACCACCCGTCGTGATTGCTTTGACCAACAGTGATAAATGCAAGGCCGCGGGGGATATTGCCAAAGTAAAGAATAGAATCATAGATATCCTACGCGAGAAGGCGTTTCGGAATGTATTCCCGCAAATTCACGTCATCGACAACACGTTGTCTGATAGAAATAGTGATGAGATTCGAAAGCTTCGCCGAACGCTTTACGTCCTGTGTAAGGAGATCTTGGAACAACAGCCACCGATGCCAGTTCGATGGTTACGGTTAGAGGTAGAACTCGGAAATGAGATGGTAAATGAACGTTCGATGTATATCACATTAGAAAAGTGTCATGAAGTGGCTCAACTCTGCAACGTGGATAACGTTGATTCCGCTCTAGACTTTCTGCATAACCAGGGTATAATCGTCCATCACAAGGAATCTCCAGTCGTGGTACTTGACCCTTGTTGGTTGATGAACCTCTTTACGAAAATTATCACGGTACCGGAAGAGCAAAAGATGATTCCGAAAGATGCCCAATTTTATAAGCTGCTGGGTGAAGGTATTTTGATGCAAGAGTATCTTCAGAAAAAAGTCGACGGAATATTTGAAGACCTGGAGGATTTGATGAAGCAATTTAGTTTGATTTGTCCGTGGGATTATGAAGGAGAGCCAGCCTACATTGTGCCTTCAGTGGCCCCTTTCTTCAATGAAGGAAGCGATGTGCAAAAGCTGCTGTCAGACAGCCCAATTGTCTCGATCTTTATCAAATTCGATTTGTCATACGTTCCACTCGGTTTTTATACGAGGTTTCAGATGAGTATCATCAGCACGTGCAAAGAGAAGGAATTGCCAACCTTAACACCTCGACTTTATTGCAATTACACGTGTCTTACCTTCGAGTGCTTCGGTGGTAGCGAAGGTTGGTTTGAGGTTTATCTGATGAAAATTCCAGCGATGATCAAAGTTGGCGTTGTTCCCAAAGGTGGATGCCATGATCCAACTAACCGCAAGTTTATGAGATACCTTAAGCAGGTCCTGGAGGACTGCATAAAAAGCGTTATAAAACAGGAGCCTTTGATTTACAGAAATGTTACTGCTTCGCTTGTGCTGAAATGCTGCAGCGGACAAAAAGAAGCTTGTCCACAACATGGTACGGCGAGATGTGATCGCGATGAATGTGGGCACTTCTTTTCAGTAGAGAGACTTCAGAAACTTACTAAGGATCCTCTTTGTCCTCATGGTACCGTAGGGGCTGAAAGGTTTTCTCTCGCCCTTGTTAGTCATTGGATAGATACAGGTACAACGTTGGTTTTTTTGCTACTCTTGTTTTTATGAAAATTTTATAATAGATATAGAAAACTCGTCGCCTGCTTTTATCGCATAAACTAAACATTTGTTTATTGTTTCAAACCACAGGGGACTCAACTACTGTCAGTAACAAGTGTAAAATAATGGAAATAATAAACTTACTTAGAAGATTTGCATAAATTGTTCACAACAACATCGATAATAAATATATTAGAAAATACATGCAGAAATATATTAGAAAATACATGCAGAAACCCTCGCCTTGCTGATAAAACCATAGTTGTCATGGTAAAATGACAATTTAATGAAATTTAATGAAAAATCGCCTAAAAATTAAAAAATTATCAATTTCCCAACATATATATGTTAGGTATGTTATTATACGTAATATAAGCTTCACTTTAAGGTAAAATTCGACCACAAACGCTTCGCAAAACGTTTTAAAGTGTTCTTTATAAAACTAAACTGCTTTTTTAATAATTAAATGGCTTCATCGATAAACTTTGAGTTTGCAATAAAATGATTTCAAATTCTCGCATGCAAATAACTTTGCTTTCTTTTTTATTTAAAAAATTAAATTAAATTAAAAAGGGAATCAATATAAAAGATGTACTGAAATTATATGCTGCCTTGTTTAGTTGTTTCATAGACGCAAAGGCCGTCGGGTTTTAAATCCATTGTAAAATCAATATTTAAAACAAACTTATTTTCGTTAACGTCGGCTCCCTTCTTTTAGACGATTCTTTCGCCCTTTCTTTCTGAGAAAGATTTGAAATTTACAAAATCTTGCAAAAATGCGAGCAAAAATGAAATATATTTGCAAGAAATTTATCAATCATCAAGTCAAGAAATGTTTGCTATTTCGCTGTCGTCATGCAGTCGTTATAATGCAAACTTTAAATTGGACCAATCAGTGTCCGCTATTCATGACAGTCTGCCATATTTTTGATATCAGTGAGAATGACCACCCATCGTTGGTGACCCACGCCCGCGATAATTGATGAATTTTAGACTTCGCTAATGCTTTCGTTTCCCCGGGAGTAAATAGCCGGGGGGATTAGTACCCTCGCACGGCGCTTCGCGCCGTCGGCTTGGGATTAGGGACCTTTAGCAAATAGGTGACGGCAACGCGACGACGACGGCCAAAACAAACTCGTTCAAATAAGTAACTTTAAGATCAACAGGTCTTGTATTATCCGTTGTATAGTTGAGAAGACTTCTACTAAGCCAATTTGGCGAGGACGATTTCTCGCGGCTTGAAAGGCAGACGTTGTATACAAAACGTAAAAATCTTTGTTTTGCTGTTGTAAACAGAGCAAGGACGACGTCTAACACTCCCAGGGGACTTTTAATTAATAATTTTCTTTCTACACTGTCATAAATTTCATTGTGTTAATAGCCGTCGCCGTCCTGCTAGCTAAAGGTCCCTATTATGAATAGAGAAAGGAAACGAGGATTAAAAAACATAACAGAAAGCTTGGAAGTCGTTTCACATAATAAGTTGTAAATCACCTTTCCCAAATTTTAAAGAGACAATAAGTATGAGAAATCCTGGAATATAGGGTAAGTCTGCTTTTACTATTTATGTATTAAAACCAGCACTAAGCAGTCTCTGACGTGTATTTTTATGCTCCGTTAAAATTGTTGTTTATCTCAATGGCTGCTACAAAACAGCTACTTGTAAGGAAAGAAAATGAAGAGTTACGAAATGATATTAGCGAATTACAGAAAAAGCTAGATAAAATCACTGAAGAAATGTCAAAGATAAATGATAAAACCGATCAAATTGAGGGCAGCCATGTTGCGAAGGACCGAGAAAAGTCTATACAGTTTGTAAGCGAGCAATATGACGAGATTGTCTCGTTCAAAAACAATACGAAAACGGAACTTAAATATATAAAATCGCAAGTCGAAATCATATCCACAAAATGTGATAAGATTGCGAAAGCCGTTGACCTGCTGGAAGCTAGATTACAGTTATCTGTATAATTTAAAAATTGTTGGCATACCGCAAGAGCAATTAAGCAACTGAAACGGCGGAGTAGACGGCAAATTTATGTCTTAATTTGTTTAAAGTTGGTGCTGATGATGTGATCCTTCAAGATATCGATATACCACATCGCATACCAGCGTGAAGATCTACAGAGTGACCGTCCTAACGCAATAATTTGCAAGTTTGTTCGCCCCCTGGCAAGAGAAAAAATAATGTGGGCAAGAAGTGGAGTAAACAACCTACGCTCAAACCAACTTGGCCTTTCCCCATATTCGCAACTTAAACAACGTCAACATCTACGATCATCTCAGTCCACACGTACAAGAACTGTTGTATGAGGCTAAGAAACGTCTGTTTTGATCAGATAAGTTTGTAATTGCGAACTTGGGACTGGGAATAGATTTTCCCGCCAAAAGAAAACATTAGAATAATTAATTAGTTTTGGTATGCATGCTAGCTTGTAGGTTGAAATTTATATCTCCGTTGAGAACTGTTTGGACTGGTTTATTCTCCGTTGAGAACTGTGGAAGCTGTCTCCGGCGAGACATATATACATGACTTGGACTTATGAGAGCCCATAGTGTAAGTACGTTAATTAATGCCTCATTTGGCCTGTTGTAATGTGGGATTAGGGGTAATTATTTATGTAAATTCATATTTTGTTCGTAGGTTCGAAACCTTATTACGATACTGTTTACGATATTGTGTGCCTCATTTAAATTGACGAAACATTTCGAACACTGGAAATTCAAAGTCCTTGTATCAAAGTGGCAAGAAAGTGAGTAAACAACGTTTGAAAGCATTTTAAAGAAATATATTAAACGAACTATATACACTTGGAATTTTAGTAAACATGTGAGTGATATCCGGCGAATTTTCGAGTGACTTCCGATCTGTGCTTCCAGTTGACGAAAAATATTTCAAGTGATTCCGTTCAAAAATTGGCGCACAGTCATGGTTCTGGAGGTAGCAGAGGCTAAATTGGCTCGAACTTCGGCTAAACGCGTATTTAATCGGAACGTCAAGAAATTAGTTGACTCTATTAACTCTAAAGATACGGCTGCATTAATCGAGAGTAGATTTAAAGATTTGAAGCAGCTCTGGGATGACGTCCAACGGAAGCACGAAGGGTATATAGAATCGCTGGAAAATTCGAAGACGACTTATGATGTTGAGCAAGAGGATGGATGGATTGATGAAATGGATAAAGTTTATGATGACGTGTTACGGCAAAAGTTGGCATACTTTGAGACCGTAGAAGAGGATCAAAGGGAAATCGAACGGCAACAAGAACAAATTTCTAAAGAGAAAGAAGATCAAATTCGTAAGAAAGAGGGCGATAAAGCTATTTTTCGAGCTGAACAAGCCCGCAAAGTTGAAGAAATCGCATTTAGACAAGAGGTGGAAAATCTAGAAGAGGCATTAGCTGCAGAGATAGACAAACCCAATCCGGCAGCATCAATGCTTGAAACGGCAAGAACTGAGCTAAAAAGACAACTTGAAGAGTGTAAAAGGGTCAATGGTGAATATGTTCTGCTACTTGATGCTGAGACAGCTGGTTATGAGATAGCTTGGTTCACGAGTCTCCAAAAGATTTATTCGCAAATATCTAAAAAAATCGGCGACGTTATTCAACGGAAAAGTGATACTAAAGGTAATGCAATGAGAGGAAGCACAATGAAACTAGAAAGAATGAAATTACCCCAATTCAGTGGAAATATTCGAGACTACCCTCGTTTTCGATCAGATTTTGAAAAACAAATCCTACCAGAGTTGGAATCTGGAAAAGTTGCATATGTCCTCAAATCATGTCTCGAAGGTGAAGCATTTGATGCCATCTACAACTTAGATGATGATGTAACGAAAATG